TTTTTTTCGAAATCGTGGGTGAAATATCCACTAAGTGGGTGAAAAATTACGCTTGTCGGAATAAATTTCGCTGCGTTTTGTAGTACTTTGTATGTTGTTATGTTCACATCATTTTAGTCGGTGAAATTTTCGAAGTTTTATACAAATTTCGATGATCTTCATGAATTCACTTGTCATTTATGATTTGTAACTCTCTAGGAGATCCCATGGACGTGATGATGGGCGACGCAGCAGCAGGGGGAGAGGAGACAGCAACAGCCGATTTCACGGAGGACTTCCGACCCGATTCAACACTTCTGGAGAAGGGCAAGGCTGATCCGAGCAAAGGGGCGCGGCAACCCAGCAAGAAAAAGAGGGGAAGTAATGGTATATTTTATGGAAAAATTTCCCCATTTTTTTCATAGCGCTACCACCATTGGACTCCACGGAATATGACGTTTTCAAACGCTACTTTAACACCCTGCGATCTGAGGAAGGTCATATATACACATTGCCGACTTCTGGAGCGCCTCTCAAGTGCGTTTGGTGGTAATATGGATTCACAACGCGAGTGATCGTGACGATTTAATGGTAGTAAATCTGAGGAGCATGGAACAGATAGATGCCCCTGGGGAAGATGTGGTCAGTGTGGCGACATCGGACATGGATCGGAAAAGTGCGAAGATAAGAAGGCCGATGAGGAAGTGGAGGTGGGCCTTGGTAGTGGTTGATAGTGTTGGTATTGCTGCTGCTGTAGGCTGCTGTGGAGGAGTCGGTAGCGATTGTCCTGGGAAAGGGGACAAGTAACGTGTCGAAAGACGAGGCGGCTTTTGTGTTGGACTCGCTCAGGTAGGATTAGTGTGAGCGTCGTCAACTGCATGTGTTGGTGACAATATGAAAATTCTGAGGAAATTTCGTGAAATTATGGTTTTTTTCTGTATATTTCTACCTGAATTTGTATAAAAACTCCTTTTTAGTAAAAAAAGCGAATATATATCCTCCAACACTGCTGAGATATGACGATCAGTGTTGGAGGAATATATGAACGTCGTCAACTGCATGTGTTGGTGGCAATATGAAAATTCTGAGAAAATTTCGTGAAATTATGGTTTTTTTCTGTATATTTCTACCTGAATTTGTATAAAAAATCCTTCTCTAGTGAGGAAACTTTTGAGGAAAGCGAACATATATTCCTCCAACGTTGCTGGGGTATGACGATTAGTGTTGGAGGAATATATGAACGTCGTCAACTGCATGTGTTGGTGATAATATGGAAATTCTGAGGAGATTTTGTGAAATTATGGTTTTTTCTGTATATTTCTACCCGAATT